GGAATAAGATATGAAATTCGGACAGGTCATCCTTTTCAAGAAATTAATCGCCTTGTCGAACTCTCTAAACCTCACGTAACTCCTCAAAACCGCGTTCAAGCTGGCCGTGCCGGGCACGATCCCTTTCGCCCTCATTTCCCGTGAAATCTCGACGGCTTCATCAAGCCGCCCGAGCTTGCAGTACTCCTTCACGATCACGGTGTACGATTTCTCATCGAGAATCATACCGAGATCCAACATTTCTCTAAAGTGTTGTATAGCTTCTGTCGATCTATTCGCGATACAATATCCCTTTAGCAAGCTCGTGTGGGCTGCAATACTCTCCCTTAGTCCACCCAGCCTCATTTTGCACATCATTTTTTTAGCTTCGTCCACGAGCCCGTTCAAACAGAGCCCGTTTATCAGAGCATTGTACGTCAACACATTAGGCTCGCAACTACCCACACTCATCATCTCATCAAAGCAATTCAATGCATTTTCAAACTCCCGTCTCTTGAAGTACCCATCGATCAGCGTCGTGTACGATACGGTATTGGGCGAGCAGGACTCGTCCTGGGCCATGCGGTCGAGAACTTTTCGGGCTTTTTCCACCAGCCCCTTCTTGCAGAGCCCGTCGAGCATGACGTTGTAAGCTATGGAGTTTTTCCCAACAGTCATTTCGTCAAACAGTTTCTCTGCATCCCCGATCATGCCCGTTTGGCAAAAGCCCCTGATCATGGTCGTGTAAGTCGAGACATCGGGTTTAACAAGGCCCATTTTTATCACAACCTGCCCAAAGTACCCCCAAGCAGTACCCACCTTATGAGCCTTCACCAAGACGCCTAAAAGAGAGTTGAGAGAAAACAGGCAGCCGTCAAAATCCCCAGTTTTAACTTGCCGGAAAAGCTTCACAGACCATTTCAGGTGGCCCAAATCGCCGTGGGCCTTGATAAACTTACCCACCATGAAATCCGAGAATCTGTCGTGGGTTTTCAGCAAATCGGCTGCTAAGGAGAAGAGCTTGTGCGAGAGGAGTTTGTCGGTGATGGCGATGTAGCAGAAGTGGGGGAGGCGATAGCTGTTGGGGTGCGCGACGGGGCCCGAGGCCCAGGTAAAGAAGAAGAGAGCATGGTAAGGATTCGTTTGGCTCTTGACGACGTCGATCACTAAATCAGGGGTTAGGTGAGGAGAGAAGTGATTGAGGATTGAAGGGTCGGGGTTTTGGTGGGTTTTAGGGTTTTGGGGGTCTAGGGATTGGAGGACGGAAGTTATATGAGGGACGACGGAGAGAGATTGGTCGAGTCGGTGCAGGAGGGATCGGTGTAGGCGGAGGGAGGCGGCGGTCATAGTACAGTGTCGCCGTCGTGTACGGCGGCGGAATTTGACTATCTTCCCCTTTAGTTGGGCTCCGAAAAGAAATGAACCCTGAGGGGCAAAATAGGAAAGGAAATTTGTTATCTAACAATTATGATATAAAACTCATTCCCAAACTTAAATGAATATTATTGAAATATTATCTTGTACATCAATTTTTACAACTTTTAAATATTACTCATATATTTTACAACTTTATAAATTAAATCACACTTTATTTAAATTTGATTTATAATTTATGTTATAAAATAAATTACAAAGTTATAATTCATATACAGAATAAAACCATATAAATAGATACTCATTAAAATTAAAAATTACAATGCACGAATCGAAAAATAAAAATATATTAAAATGAACATAAAATAATTATTCGTAAAAGTGAAAAATACTGAGTATTTTAAGTCTCGAAATTGGTGAATTTCTCCCACTAGTGCATTTCAAAGTGAAATGTAATAATCTTTATTTATAATTTTCAGTTTATTACAGCAATGAGAGGTTATTTTTTAGCCATAACTTGGAAAAATGATAGAATATTTACAAAGAGTGGTCATTTCGAGTCAAAACATTGAAAAAAAGTGAGGGTCTTTGTAGTTCATTATCATTTTCGGGTGAGAAACATAGAGAGGGGCGAGAGTCTTTTGCAGTGAGAGGTCATCTTCGAGTCAGAACTTTGAGAAATGTGAGAATCTTTGCAGAGTGGTCATTTCGGTCAAAACATTGAGGATTGTGAGGTCTTTGTAGTTATATGTCAATTTTGGGTCAGAAACTTAGAGATGGGTGAGAATTATTCACTATAAAAGAAGAGTGATTAGTATATAAAAGTGTGTAGAAATGTAAAAGACGTAACTAGCCTACCACACCACTTTATATAGAGTTGTGGTGTCTTACTCTACAAGTATGCCGAGAGAGTTCACCTTACTGCTCGAGTTGTCCATCCGTACGATGTACAGTGCTGCAGGTGGTCAAGCTTTGTCATGTGTGCAGACGACTCAATCTCGCAGCGACATGTGGTCCAATTCTCACATGGCGTTATCTCCGAGTTAGATGCCTTTTTATCTTGTTCATGAGTCGATGTTCACGTCATCAGGTAGAACATACATTAGGTAGTACATCTTCTTCTCCAGCTCCCCAGTTGCTCATGAGGTCGATTCGACCTCTGGGTCCATCAAGTGATCGAGCTCGACGTGAGCTCATCTCACGATTGACTTTTCCTTTCGGGATGTCTTTTTTGCCTTGGTTATTGCCTTCCGGTCGATCTATGGTCACAACTCGAACTGCCTTGTTAATCTGATTTGGTGGCCGGGG